CAGAAATAAACTCATGATATATGGTTACTAATCTTTGACAAGGGCACTAAGTAGTCACAATGAAATAGAATAGTCTTTTGTCACAAATTATGTTGGTATAAGTGGTATCTACCTGGCGAAAAGGAAAAACAAAAGAAAAGAAAAAGAAACTGACCGATACCTTTTACAGTGTTACAAAAGTAAGAATTAAAACTGCATTAAGACTCCATGTAGACTGAAACTCAAACCAATGTCTAGAAAAAATCACAGGGACAATCTTCTTGACACTGGCTTTGGAGTATCCACATCGAAAACACAAGGCAACCAAAAACCAAAAATAAACAGAATGAGACACATACAGACTAAAAAGGCTTCCTGTGAAGCAGAGGAAACAATAAAAAAAATAAGGAAGTCAAACTGTGGAATGCTTCTGAGCCAGAAAGTCTTTTCTTGCTTTCTTACCTTTTATCTTAAGGAAAAAACTACTTAAGAAATAACTACCAGCTTGTAGTTATTCATATCATTAATTAATCATGCATCATTAACCAGCATTATTGAAGAATAAAAAGAGGAGAGACAAAAAAACATTTTTATGACTAATTTATCTAATAGCTTTTTGGACTAAAGATTTGGTCCTGAGATGAGGGAAAACAAATTTATCGTACATTAAATCTGTAATACAAACGTGATTACAAGGAGCTAAGTGTAATCTTATTTTTTTCGGAGACTATGAGATTAAATCCATTGTCTTCTATTTAACACTTTCACTTTATTTTCGGACACTTTATTTTTGCTTTTCTTTATTTCAGCATACTTTGTTCCTGTGTTACAGGCACTCTGTTTCAAATACCTCTCCTTCTTTTTACCATACTCACTTCCGGGTAATTTCCTCTCTCTAATCCTTCACTCCTCACTCTTCACTCACCTCAGTACCTCTTTGCATAGGGGGGGGGGGGGGTTTTAATAAATACGATGAGGAAAATAAAGACTATTCTAATGAAAGAGTATTCCTAACGATGTGAGTAAAACATCATATGCGAGATATTCTCCCAACTGAAAAACAATTGAAGTATGACTGATTGAACAATTGAAGAATTATTAACCATAATGAGAAATTACAGGTTAGCATATTTCATATCTCTCTAAAATCCGGTATGAAGAAAATTGGGTCCCCATCTCACACACACACACATAATATATATACACACAAATTCATACATATATGTGCACATACATAAGACAGAAGGAACAACACAGCAAATTTGGTTGAAAGTCAGAAAAAATATTTAGTCTTATTTAAAAGTATGACCTTTTCAAACTATTCTCAAAACTTTCATAAAACATGTTTAAACAGTTATATTTTTAACCAAAGAAAAACAAAACACCCTACTTTTAATATGTCTCTTTATTGAAGGAAAATCTCTTGACCTTAATATACTCCAAGAAAGATTATCTATTAGATAATATTTTACTTATTTGAGTAGGGAAAAATGATATAGTGAGTTTGCAGACTGTTTAACAATGTTTATAAAGGTGGTGAAAATAGATACCGAGAACTGCTAGACTAGAGGGAGGAGATCAAGAGAGGGGCAAAGGCTGAATAATTAACTGTTGGTTACTATACTCAGTACCCGGGTAACAGGATGAGTCACGCCCCGAACCTCTGCATAGTGCACTATAACCATGTAACACAGCTGCACATGTACCTCCAAATCTAAAATAGCAGTTGAAATTATTTTAAAACTATATTTAGATGTTTAAATGCAATAATAATAATGTCTTCAAAATGTAGAAAAAATATATAGACACATTTGGTTCTTCATATCCACAGGTTCTGCATCCATGGATTCAACCAAGTGTGGTTTAAAAATAGTCACATAAAAAAAAGATGGTTACTTCTGTACTGAACATTCACATATTTTTTTCTTGTCACTATTTCCTAAATAATATAGTATAACAACTAAAGGCATACCTTGAAAATATTGCAGTTTCTGTTCCATAGCACAATAAACTGTGTGTTTCAGTAAAGTGAGTCACAAAATTTTGGTTTAACAGTGCATATGTAAAGTTATGTTTACACTGTAATATACAGTCTATTAAGTGTGCGATAGCATTATGTCTAAAAATTGTAATGTTACATATTTTATTGCTAAAAGATACTAATGATTTTCTGGGTCTTCAGCAAGGTGTAATATTTTCGATGGCGGAGGGTCTTGCCTTTACATTGATGGCTGCTGACTGATCAATATAGTGGTTGCTGAAGGTTGAGGTTGCTGTAAAAATTTCTTAAAGTTAGGCAACAATGAAGTTTGCCACATTGATCGACTTTACATTTCATGAAATACTTTTCTGTAGTATGTGATCCTGTTTGATAAATATTGCCCACAGAACTATTTTTCAAAATTACAGTCAATTTTCAAAAACTGCTGCCACTTTATCAGCTTTGTTTGTATAATATTCTCAATCCTTTTTTGTCATTTCTATAAGTAATAACCCTTTTTTGTCATTTCACAGTGTCTTTGCTAAGAGTCAATTCCATCTCAAGAAAAACCTTTCTTTGCTTACCCAAAAAGGGCAACTCCTCATCCATTCCAGTTTAATCAGGAGATTTCAGCAATTCAGCCACATCTTCAGTCTCCACTTTTAATTCTAGGAATTTTGCTAACTCCACTATGTCTGCAATTACTTCCTCCACTGAAGTCTTGGACTCCTCAAAGTCGTCCTTAACACTGGGATCAACTTCTTCCAAACACCTTTAATGTTGATATTTTGGCCTCCTGCCATGATTAATGGATGGGATGTTCTTAATGGCATCTAGAATGATGAGTTCTTTTCAGAAGGTTTTCAAGTTATTTTGCCCAGATCCATCACTATGGCAGCTATAGCCTTAACGAATATATTTCTCAAATAATAAGACTTAATAGTCAAAATTGCTCCTCGATTCATGGGCTGCATGCTGTGTTATTAGGCATGAAAACAACATTGATCTCCTTGGCATCTCTACCAGAGTTTTAGGGTGACTAGGAGAATTGTCAATGAGCAGTAACATTTTGAATGGAATCTTTTTCTTTTTTTTTTTTTTTTCTGAGTGATAGGTCAGGGTTTAAATATTCAGGAATCCATACTGTAAATAGATGTACTGTCATCAGTCTTTTTTAGTTCTGCTTATACAGCACAGGCAGAGTAGATTTAGCATAATTCTTAAGGGCCTTGTATTTTCAGCATGGTAAATAAGCATTGGCATCAATTTACTTTCATTGGTTTTATTAACCTCTAACAAGAATCAACTTGTCTTTTGAAGCTTTGAGGCCAGTCATTGACTTCTCCTCTATATCGATGATGTCCTAAATAACGTCTTCTTCCAATAGAAGGCTGTTTCATCTACATCAAAAATCTACTGTTTGGTGTAACTACTTTCATTAATTATCTTAGCTCAACCTTGTGGATTAATTACTGCAACTATTAATTAAACTCCTGTTTCTTCACCTTGCACTAAGACATCTTTCTTTATACCTCATGAACCAACCTCCACTAGCTTCAAACTTTTCTTCTGCAGCTTTATCATCTCTCTTGGCTTTCACAGATTTGAAGATACTTAGGCTTTGCCCTGGATTAGGTGTTGGCTTAAGAAAATGTTGTGGTGGGTTTGATCTTCCAGCCAGGTAACAAAAACTTTCTCCATATCAGCAATAAGGCCATTTCACTTTCTTTCCATTTGTATGTTTACTGAAGTAGCACTTTAATTTCCTTTAAGAACCATTTTTTAAAATTTTTTAAATTCACAGCTTGGCCAACTGGCACAAGAGGCCTAGATTTTAGTTTATCTCAGCTTTTGACATGAGTTCCTAAGTTAAATCATTTCTAGCTTTTTATTTAAAGTAAGAAACAGTTAGCTTTTCCTTTCACTTAAATACTTAGAGGCCATTTCAAGGTGAAATCATTAGCCTAATTTTAATAATTTTGTGTTCCATGGAACAGGGAATCTAAGGAGAGAGGGAGAAATGTGAAAATGGGTGGTCAGTGGAGCAATCAAAGACATTCATTTATCATCTAATATTTGTGTAGTCAGTGGTACCCCAAAACAATCACAATAGTAATATCAAAGATAAGTGACCACAGATTGCCATAAAATATATAATAATAATGAAAATAATATTTCAAATATTGTGAAAATTAATAAATTGTGACACAGAGACATGAAGTGAGCATATACTGTTGGATAAATGGAGCTGATAGACTTCCTTGGTGCAGGATTGCCACAAACCTTCAATTTGTGAAAAGTGCAATATCTGAGAAGTGTCATAAAGTAAAACAGAATACAATGAAAGATGTGTGTATTTAAATGTATTTGTAAACTTACTTTATTATAAGAAATCTAGAGATTATTTGAAGTAAACGAAAGAATGTGCATAGGTTACATGCAAGTGCTATGCCATTTTATATTAAGTACTTGAGCATCCATAGATTTTGGTATTCCTGGGAAGTCTTGGAACCAATCTTTCAGGGATACCAATGGACAACTTTATGTGTGTTTGTGTGTGTGTGTGTATATATTATTTTATAATTTCTAAATGATACAATAATGTAAATCTTGGAAGGGAGACTGAGATTATATAGAGTTCAAATATTCTAGAAGTCTTTATATGGGAATAGCATCAAGCTCTACCTGAAGTCAGCATTGAAACATTTCCTCTCCCAATATCTCCTATTAGATTAAACTTTCAAAACTTACTGATATGGCTAGACTTTGTGTCCCCACCCAAATCTCATCTTGAATTGTAATCCCCATAATCCTTCTAATCCCCACATGTTAAGGGAGATACCAGGTGGAGGTAGTTGAATCATTGGAGTGGTTTCCCCAATGCTGTTCTCCTGAATAGTGAGTGAGTTCTCATGATATCTGATGGTTTTATAAGGAGCTCTTCCCATTTTATTTGGACTTCTTCCTGTTGCCTTGTGAAGAAGGTGACTTGCTTCCCCTTCCGCCATGATTCTAAGTTTACTGAGGCCTGCTCAACCATGCTGAACTGTGAGTCAATTAAACCTCTTTCTTTTGTAAATTACCTAGTCTCAGGTATGTTTTATAGCAGTGTGAAATGGACGAACACACCTATCATACTAGTTACTATCTGTAGAGCTCTCCTTGATATTTTTCACTTTCTAATGCAGTGCAATTTCACTCTGCCTGTTTTTTCATGGTCTGACCCTATCACTTATATTAAATAAATAGTTTCATTGTGTTTCCTACAATACTATCTAGAATATGAGGCTAAGTGTCCTGTGATATCACATTTAACTGTAAATATTGGGAGGATTCTGGAGTGCAAATCCTATTTGGAATAACAGGAAGCTCATGCTCCTCTTACAAGAATTTTCCCTTTTTAGCATCCAGGCCTCTCCCACCTCATCCAATGTATCTTCTTTTTGATGTTCTACTCTAGGACTAGATGTGAAATTTCTGCCTGACTGGGCCTCTCTGAGATGGATATTCCTAGAGCTTCAAATGAAATCTGAAAATCAGCCACCCTAGCAGTAACAAGCAACCCCATTTCATGGGGTAAGAATTACAAGGCTATACTGGAGTTCCACTGTAGAAGTAAAGGAGAAAAGTGGTCCATCCACCCAATCTGGCTGTATGTTCTCCCAAGAAATGCTTGATCAGTAGTTATTCTCTTCTTCTATTACGGAAACAGTCTGGGTGTGGCTGTTCTGAAAATGTTTGACCAAAAATCAAGGAAGTTACATATGCTAAGTAGATACGATAAAAATAGATCACCACATCCAGCAACTGCATGGTGCAGTAACTACCTCTATTTCCTGTGTGTAGATGTGGTGGGGGGAAGGGTTAAAATTAGGGTGTTTGGCAGAGAGGATAAAAAGTTGAAAGAAGTAACGGAATAAGTAATTTATGTTCTCGCCTGAGACAGGCTGCTGGATAGCAGCAATTCATGGCAAGAGTTCATTGTCTTAGTCTGTTCGTGCTGCTATAACTGAATACCTTAGTCTGGGTAGTATATAAACAATAGAAATTTATTGCTCACAGTTCTGGAGGCTGAGAAGTCTAAGATCAAGGCATAAGCTTATGCAGTGTCTGGTGAAGGCTTGATATCTGCTTCAAAACAGCATCCTCATGTTGAGTTCTCACATGGTGGAAGGGGTAAACCAGCTCCCTTCCTACTTTATAAGGGCACTAATACCATTATGAGAGTTGAGCCTTCATAATCTAATCATCCCTAAGTCTCTTTCTCTTAATAATATTGGATTGAGGATTAGCTTTCAACATGGGAATTCGGGAGGGGAGACATAAACTTTTAGGCCATAGCATTAGTCTTTATTACCTATGTATGTGTGTTGTATTAACTTTAGGTTCAAGACCTGTGCTAAACATGGCATACAACACTATCACCATGTATATTTATAAGATTCCATTCTTACTTGTTTCTTTCTCTTTTTCAGCCCTAATATTAGCTTGGACTCCTCAGCACCACAGTAACTCATGAAATATATTGGATATATAGAGTTGAAATGTATATATCCTTGTAAATTATGAAGTCCTGTTTTCTGAGTCAAGGTGTCATTAGTTTACATGCATGGAATATGCTATTACTTATTTAAAAAATCCTACCTTTTAAATCTATTCACATACTCTTATATATTCACAAATTCAGTCAAAATTACCTTTGCAAAGCAAGAATCTGACATTGTAAGTTGTTGTTGGAGTCTCAATAACTGAAATCTGCAAGTCCTACTCTTTTAAATAATGAAATGTTTAAAAAGTTAATAAAGTTATATATATAAATTAATATATATAATAAACTACGTCCGTTACCATCATGCTCTACCTCTACTATTTTTACAAAAATCATCAATAACTTTATTTTTTAATATTATGTGAACTTTTATTTGTCTTTGTTTCCCAGCCTGTCATTGATATTTGACCATGTTGATAGTTACTGAAGAGAATGCTAAAATTGCAATTCTGTTTAATAACCTAAGATGATTTGATACAAATTCATGTTGCCAGAGAGAAATGCAGATGTTCAAATATTGTATCAACTCATCAGCCTTAGAGTTTTTATGACTTTACCACTAATATGTAACTAAAAGGGGCTGGATAATTGGAGAGCTGGAGAGAGAGGAATTACTGAGGAGAATTTCTTTAGCACAAGCTCTTCTGTAAGTTCTACCTGTATCTTCCCCATGGGACATATAGGGATTGTCTACTTATACTACTCAAGTGTAAGTTTAAAAGGGTTGGTTTTAACAGAATCATTCAAAGAATGTTATTTATCCTGCAGAGTCTGGGGTCTGACCTCTACCCCAGGAAACCTGGAAAGTAGCCCTCGATGGCCTAATGAGATTCTTGGGAGTTAGAGTTAAGATGAGATGCTACAGTATTTCAAAGGTGGTCAAAGAATGCAATATGAGTTTCCTCTGAACAAGGAGTCAGGGAGGAGTTGGTGATAGCCATGTCAAATTCTGTTCAGAAATGCAATAGAACTCAAACATTTAATAATCTGAGAAGTGGCCTGCTGGAGATCCAGGAGTCAAGGATAAAGTGAACTCTTTATCCAATAGTTGCTTTACCCAACTATTATTTGTAGCAATTTTCAAATTATCTTTAATACTCTCATACTTATAATTAGTTTAAAAATTTTTGAAACTGTCTCTTGGCAATGGCTTAAGAAAGCCTATCATTTTTATTTCTTCTTGACGATGTTAAACTCACTTTCTCTTGTCTGAATTGGTTCTTTTGTCTCACAGCAGGTCCTTTTCATTTCACTGTACATCGTGCAAATTTTTACTAAAATAATCTACTTTGAAAAATGAGTTGCCACTTGCATTTTAAAAACATAAAACAAGTTATATTTATACCATTTATTTCCATGCATGCACCCAATATTATTTTTAACTTTTCACTTTGCATTCTACTTGATTATGAATTGAGATCGATTATGTAGAACAGAGTTCTGCTGTCGGGAATGTTATATGCTACAAGGTGATTTGGTGAACATTTTGGTTGCTAAGGTTGTTAGATGTTATGCATACAATGCAGAATTGTCTCAAACACTGCCTAAATTTCCAGTGTTCCAATAATCAATCATATGGCTGGAATCCACATTTAGCGTTATTTAACTTTCCAGCCTAACTCAATTGTATACTCAAGTGAAACCCTTTTAACATACTTTTACTATACTTCAAATTCCCAGAAAAGAAACTATATGTAAACTGAGGGAAGGTTTATTTTTACTTCATAGTATAAGTTCATGTTAATAAATCTTCAGTATAATAAAAAGATTATATTATAAAAATGTACTAAATAATTTTATGTGTCATTTTTGATAGGTTAATTTAATAAAAATGCTGTTATTATTTGAAATGCAACATATTTGAAATGCAATTTTGATTTTTAAATGAGCAATCATAACTTTTTAGAACCTTATTATGTGTTATGTGTTGATAAAAGTAGCATGTTTTGCTTTAAGTATAACACAATTTAATTATTGAAA